CCAAATTTCAAGTCTTAAATCGGAATCCAAAACAACTGGAAGATTATAAAAGTGTTTATACGACTTCCTAACTGGCTTTCTACCCGATTAATCGGGTAAAAAGTCGGGTAGGAATACCACACCTGATCAGAGAGGGTAGATCAAGAAGAAATTCTTCCGCAAAGTATCAAGTAGGAAAATAGAAGACTATATCTCCTACCCGTAGGGTAAGGTGAACACCCTTACGATTTATGTAATTACAAATCAAGGATTTTTAATGTCGTTTGTTTCTTATTAGATTAAAGTCACACTATGAACTTATCCATGTACAAATTTTGGGTAGTCCTCCTTTTTTTTCCAAATATGTTTTCCTCCTTTTAACTCAGCTTGTGTACTCTTGTACATAGCTAATCCCAAACCCGAATAATGGTGGGTAACTTTAGGCAGCTGACAGTCAAAGTAAAACTCGCCAAACCAAATATAAATATGAATCCAAAGAATATTCAAGATATTCCATAAAAGCAATGTATTGCACCTACACCCAGGTGTTTCGGAAAATGGGCAAGGGGTGCTGTATTTTAGTCCCCCGAATGCAGTGAAAAATTCACAAGTGTTCCTACATCACTCTGGATGAGCTCGAGTAAAGAATTTAGTCCAAGGTTAGCAATTTGGAATATAGAAACAATAGCAGGTAAAGGAATGGAGCTAGTTGAAATAATGATTAGAAGAAAAGTTAATATCATGTCCCTACAAGAAACTAAGTGAGTAGAGGCTAAAGCAAGGGAAGTATAAAATACAGCTTATAAACTTCATTATATTGAAAAAGATAAACATAGAAATGCAGTAGGACAATCAGTAGATTCGCATCTTAAACAATAANTTATAAACTTCATTATATTGAAAAAGATAAACATAGAAATGCAGTAGGACAATCAGTAGATTCGCATCTTAAACAATAAGTGGCAACCGTTCTTAGAAAAGGAGACAATTAATATTACTAGCACATATGAACTTAAAACTCAACTTTATTTGGATATTGATGAGCTAGTGGGAGAAATAACTATAGGAGAAAGAATATATATAGGAGGAGACTTTATGGCCACATAAGAAAGGATCGAGTCAGATATGAGGGGGTACATGGTGGACATGGATTTGGAGATAGGAATGATGCTTAAGATTCTGTCTTATATTTGGGTATAGCATATGATCTTATGATTGCAAATACGTATTTTAAAAAGAAATGACTAACATTAAATAACTTTTCGAATTGAATTACATAAAAGTCAAATAATTTTTTTCTTAACTAGACGAATAGATCGTAGATCATGCAAGGACTGTAAGTTCATTCCAAAAGAAAGCTTAACCACATATCACAGAGTAATGGTACTAGGTGTATTTGTCAAGAGATGTCTTATATGTCATAAGGGGTATTTATATACTTTCAATCTTACTAGTATATATACATAGGGCTAATTGGAGATAACCCTAAACTAATTCATGGGGCTTTCTCTCAAGAGCCACCACATTCTCACAAACTCTCTCTACTTCTTCTCCTTTGTTCTCTTTTCATACATTTAAATTGTATCAAAGCCCGATCCGCCGTAAGTTGATATTATTTTTATTTTCTTATTTTTTCAGNCTCCTTTGTTCTCTTTTCATACATTTAAATTGTATCAAAGCCCGATCCGCCGTAAGTTGATATTATTTTTATTTTCTTATTTTTTCAGTAACATAAATCTTGTTTCTTCCTCTCACAGTTTGTCCTCATTTTTGGTTGAACCGTAAAAGGAAAAAAAATTATAAAAAAAAAAATCTCAACATGATCAACTAGAATTCACATACTTCCAGAGAAATTCTCAAATTTTTTTGGAGTTCATTTGATGTATTTTTTCATTTTTTTTCTATTTTACAGAATTATTGGTCTAGTTTTCCGAAATCGCTTACTTTAGCTTGTTTGACGCAATATTTTCTGGAATAGCTCCCTTAGGGTCCGAAATTACCTTCTTGCCCTTACCGATTGTTGTTTCATCCATTTTGATGGTTCTTTCGCCAAATCTACAATTTTTCTTGCATTTTTTTTGTGGAAACAGTAGCTTTGTACCCTTTTATCACTTTTTATGATCTAATTAATCTAATTTGGTCCGCTTTTTGCGCTTTTCTTGTGTGAGTAACTTATACCTTGCAAGGATTCCTTGGGCTTTATGAGTTTGTACGTGATTGAACTAGTTCTCTGATATTTGGGGGTGTTATCCTTGTTCAGTAGATATGGCAACTAATAGTAAGTCTTCAGGCGAATGGATTGAGTCTTGTTAAAACTCTTGGAGATAACTCATCCCTTCAGATTAGTATGGATAAATTGGATGGCACAAACTATTTAATATGTTCACAATCTTGCAGTTTGACTAGTTACATCACTAGAACTCTTAAGGATCCTATGATAGATAGACCANAGCAGGTAAAGGAATGGAGCTAGTTGAAATAATGATTAGAAGAAAAGTTAATATCACGTCCCTACAAGAAACTAAGTGAGTAGAGGCTAAAGCAAGGGAAGTATAAAATACAGGTNGCAGTTTGACTAGTTACATCACTAGAACTCTTAAGGATCCTATGATAGATAGACCAGCACGAAAGAAATGGCAATCAGGGAATGCCCTTGTTATGACTTGGTTGATTAAATAAGTGCAACCCTCTGGTAGTCGCACCTTGTTGTTGGCCACAGCACCAAAGATTTGGTCTGCAGTTGCACAGACATACAAAAGGGTAATGACTTACAGATCTATGAACTGAGGAAGAAGATTCGTGGGTTAGATCAAAAAGACGGATCTCTCGCTAAATATTATGTTGGATTGAGTAGTTTGTTGCAGGAACTTAACTATTATTAGAGTTTTCAGGCTGTTTGTACTACGGATGTAGCTGCCTTTAAGGAAATGATGCAGAATGAACGAGTATATGATTTTCTTCCTAGTCTTAACATGGAGTATGATCGAATTTTAGTTCAGGTTTTAGGTCAATCTCCTTTCACCTTGAGAGAGGCTTATGCTTGCGTTCCACAAGGGGAAAACCTACTTAGTGCAATGGTATACACTCCAAGTCAAGATCGTTCTGCTTTGCTTATTATTCTTTCACGGGATAGTAATGTCAATCAACCTAAGACGAATTGGGAGAGTAATGTCGATAATCGTGATCTATTGAAATATACTTATTGTGGGAAGGAACGTTGGAGAGCACTATAGGCAATTGCATGGTCGTCCTACTTGAGAGTGTGGAGCTGGTTGTAGTGGTACTGTGCAATCTCAAGCCTGCATTTTTAAGACTTCTCCCACAAACCCCTCTACTGATACTAGTACTCTCTCCCAGGATGAGATGCATATTCTCAAGCGTCTGATGGCTAGACTTGACACTTCATTTGCCACAACTTCTCCTTCTACACCGACTTCCTCCAACTTTGCTTATACAAGTAGTCCAGCATATGCTCTTAGTATCTCTTCTTCTCCTTGGATAATTGATTCTGGAGCTACTAACAAAATATGATGAGTTCCTCTTAACATTCTTTGCTCTTACTCTCCTTGTTCTCGTAGGGATAAAGTGACAATTGCTGATGGATTTTTATCCTCTGTTTTTGGAAAATGTTTTGCTCGGTGCCCTCCCTCCATTTCCCTTTCATTTATTCTTCATGTTCCAAACTTCTCTATTAATTTACTCTCTGACAGTAGTCTTACTATTCATTGTGTGTTTTAGGAATCGAAGACGAAGAAATTGATTGGCAGTGACGGAGTAAATGGTGGTATGTATTTGCTGAATGATGTCTCTTTACCTACATTGTCGTTGGGTCAAGCTATACAAGTGGATACTACATCTCCTTTTCACTCTTACTTCAGTGGCACCGCCGTTTAGGACATCCTTCCTTTGGTGTTCTGGTAAAACTTTTCTATGTTAGCTAAATCATGTCATAGGAGCAAAATAGCCTAGAAATCAGCCGAATCGTAGAAATACGACCCAAAAAATCCAAAAAAAAAACATTCAAAATTCAAAAAACTATCTTAGTTGATTTCAAAAAATTCCACAAAAATCACCGTCATACTCGAGGGATAAAACCGACTCAGACCATGTCAAATTTAGTCACTACAGGCAATGACGTCCAAGACACCAAAAACCTCCCAACGCCTTCTTGAATGTTCTTATGACTTCAAACTTTTGTTTGATTGCTCTAATACTAAGATGAAATCTAAATATCTTAAATCTTTAGGTTTAGAATGAGAAGAGACAAGAGAAGAAAGAGATTAGAACATAGGGCTTAGGAAAATAAGAGTTCCTTCGCCTCTCCTCTCATCACCCATATTTACATTAACTCATAATAAAGTGGATATGACAATAATACCATTAATTGTAATAACCTAACATTCTACAATATCTTTCTTTACTATTTCACTTCAAGTTAATTTTGGCATCTACCCCTACGCTTACCTTCAATGGTTATCCTATCACTCTTACCCACGGGTGCCGTAATAGGCCATTTATAGATGTGTCTCCACCACCTAAGTCAATTCTCCCTTAATTAATCCCCTATAGATGTCACCTCTACTTTTTCACAGATATTATCGAGAAGAAGTAAAAATTGAAAATCAAGAAATACCAAAAAAGTGAACTAGAGTCTATTATTAACAGAGAATATGAGATTGGGACAATGTTACCCATAGAATTATGTAGGATGGAGTAAATGGAGGAATGCATCTGGTATATTTTACGATAGACACATACTCCTTAAGGTAAAAGGAAAGTTCTATAGAACGGCCATAAGACTCACACTATGTTTTATGGTACTAAGTGTTGTGGAACTAAGAAATAACACGTCCAAAATTTGAGTGTAGTCGAAATGAGAATGTTAAGATGGGTGTGATACAACTAGGAAGGATAAAATTTAATGATCAAATTCCACTCAATACTCGATGAAGTGATTTCATTTTCAGGAAATTCAAATACTTTAAAACGTGAAATAATCAAAAAGGATGCCAACCCAACATTTAATTCTCGTAATAAATTTTAGTAGGCAAAAAGTTCTTTAGGTGGATTAGGATCAGAACAAAGAAAGAAGTTATTTTGTGGCTAAAAATAATAAGCATCATACAAACCTGTTCACACTCCTTTCTCGAGAAACAATAGACTATGCCAGATTCATTATTTGGATATGAAGTTTGTATGAATTCAGCAATATCATCAATAACCATCTTTCCAACAGATGACTTTTCTCGTACCTGAAAAGTAGGTCATATAGTTCTAGCTCAAAAATTTTAAGGAAAAGTTAGTAGAAAACCAAATATAATATCATATTTATACCATATAAAAAAGATTCGGCCGGTTGACCATGCTAACAAATTTGATGCATTTTGGAATGTGCAGCATCTCCATCAGATCTTCTTGGACTTTCTTCGTTGCTGTAGCCTATGAAATGAACAAGAAATCAAACTCTCACAATTAGTAATCAAAAGTAGATCACAAAAAAATAAAAGAATAGGATTTTAAAGATTATAATATAAGTAAAGGACATACAGTCAAAGCAATCACTGGAACATTGGGAAACTGGGTCTTTAAGATACCAAGATTCTTGTAGTCTGGACGAAAATCATGGCCCCACTGACTACAACAATGTGCCTCCTACAAAATAACCAAATAGTCTATCAAAATGGATATCATGCAAGTTTCCACATAACTGTCTCACAAGATTACAGGCATAACACCATATTATCATTATTAAGTCCCTCAAAGTATGATTGCTAATGAAATGAAATAACCCAAACTGACGAATTTCTAAACTTCTCATGGATGTCACATGATGTCAATTGATTACAAAAGTTATTACAAACACAACAATTTATTTGTAGCATAATAATTGAATAACAACTCCCCAAAAGGATATGGTCTTAGTTAAGAGAGCTTGGCATAACAACTAAAATACTTTAAGAAAGAATATGTCATGAAATTAATATTGTGAGTATGTCACATGCAGCATTATTGCCATCACATTAAGGCCCTTCCCGGGGGAGTATTTTTGTAAGCAAAGACGCTCACCCAGGTGGTGGAGCACGTGTTCAACCTCAATGCAACCAAAGAAACTTACTAGGGCTTGACATACCACGANCAACTAAAATACTTTAAGAAAGAATATGTCATGAAATTAATATTGTGAGTATGTCACATGCAGCATTATTGCCATCACATTAAGGCCCTTCCCGGGGGAGTATTTTTGTAAGCAAAGACGCCCACCCAGGTGGTGGAGCACGTGTTCAACCTCAATGCAACCAAAGAAACTTACTAGGGCTTGACATACCACAACATTTCAAAAACTAGATGGGTGCCTAAGGGAACAAAGAGACAGGTAGTGCATGGTTGTAGAGCCATTACTATTTAGTCATATGGAAATATAACCTGCAGAAGGAACCTAATTGATTTTGACAAGTCTTACAAGGAAGAAGGTTTTTTTGGTGTTGGGTTTTTTTTTTCTTTTGGGGAGTGGGTGGGGGATAGCACTACAAGGTATTTGTATTTACTTTGATTCAATCAAGGGTACTTTGGCCATTTTTCACACTGATACTCACTGAAAACATTAATTTCAGAATATTTTGAAGTGAGCAACACCAATTATGACCCTAGACTGACCTGTGGAAACTCAGGGTTAGAAAAGCAATTTCTGTTGAACCCTGGTGGACAAGTGTACTGGCCTATAAGACCAGCTGTCTGGCCTAACTCCATAATGCGCCCCCCCCCCCCCCCCCCCCCCCCCCCCACCCCCCCCACCACCCCCCCCCCCCCCCCCCCCCCCCCCCCCCCCNCCCCCCCCCCCCCACCAAAAAAAAAACAGTTTGTTCTATTCCAATGTTGATATTTCCTTTCAATTCCACTTGCTAGAACAGAACTTTTAGAGTAGTATGTGCATCAAGGCATGGTATATCAAGTATGATAATCAATTTGGCTCATGAATTGGCAACGAAAATCAGTGTCATTAAATTCTCATTCATGATACTAATTACATATACTAATGGCATACTTTAACATTCCATGCAATCAATCCATGTAATATGATGTAAAACATTTCCAGAACAATAGTGCATAACTATATATAGTGGTTCGGCCACCTTGACCTACATCCACCCTTAAAACAACCTGAGTTGGAGCCACTCCACCATAAGGGATCAATAACCTTGTGTACAAAACGTTCAGTTGACGAGTGTCTTTCCAGGGGTTGTAGTACGGTGTTGCGACATCCCTAGTTATTCAACTAGGAAATTTAAGCAGTGGGAGAGCTGCTGGAGCATTTGCAACTGGGTAAAAGTGGGGTTGCCCAAGGGTGACATAATATGGTGACATGCAGAGAGGAGTGGAAGGTTTGCAGTGAGGTCTTTCTACTTGATGTTGTGCGGGAGAGTGGTGGTGCCTTCCCTTGTAAGGGGATATAGTAGCCTAAGGTTCTTTCCAAGGTCATGTCTCATGTGTTTTGCATGGACTGTGGGTGGGGAGTCAATTCTCACTTTGCATAACTTGAGGAAGAAAGGTTATCAACACCCAGATAGATGTTATATGTGTGCATTGAGTACATTAATCACCTTCTTTCATTTTGACCGGTGGCTCTGAAGTTGTAGTTGCTAACGTTCTCCTTGATTGATATTGTTTGTGGTGTATGCCTTACTAATTGTTGGAGGGTGTTTGCCGAGGAAGGGGATGCAAGCCTCGTGGGCTTTGATCCCTTTGACATTATTTGGGTGTGAGCGCAAGTAAAGGACTAGATGGATTTTTTAGGATAAAGAGATGCTCATAGATAGATCAAAGCAATAGCTTTTTGTTACACTAGCAATGCACCATGTGCGTTGCACGAAAATTATCGTATATAAAATATTAATAAAATGTATTAGGTATAGATATACCTACATTAAATATCATCTCAAGTTTATCAAAATTATATTTTTATTGCTCGTATTATACTATAGAATTCGAAAAATATTTTTTTTTCTCTAGTGATTCGTTGTTCTAACTATAAGAAAAACGATAAAAATAATTCATATAAAATTCATTTGATTAGGTTTCAACTTATAATTCATTGAATAAAATAAAGATAATTGTCAATATTCTAATCAATACCTCCTNACATTCCATGCAATCAATCCATGTAATATGATGTAAAACATTTCCAGAACAATAGTGCATAACTATATATAGTGGTTCGGCCACCTTGACCTACATCCACCCTTAAAACAACCTGAGTTGGAGCCACTCCACCATAAGGGATCAATAACCTTGTGTACAAAACGTTCAGTTGACGAGTGTCTTTCCAGGGGTTGTAGTACGGTGTTGCGACATCCCTAGTTATTCAACTAGGAAATTTAAGCAGTGGGAGAGCTGCTGGAGCATTTGCAACTGGGTAAAAGTGGGGTTGCCCAAGGGTGACATAATATGGTGACATGCAGAGAGGAGTGGAAGGTTTGCAGTGAGGTCTTTCTACTTGATGTTGTGCGGGAGAGTGGTGGTGCCTTCCCTTGTAAGGGGATATAGTAGCCTAAGGTTCTTTCCAAGGTCATGTCTCATGTGTTTTGCATGGACTGTGGGTGGGGAGTCAATTCTCACTTTGCATAACTTGAGGAAGAAAGGTTATCAACACCCAGATAGATGTTATATGTGTGCATTGAGTACATGAATCACCTTCTTTCATTTTGACCGGTGGCTCTGAAGTTGTAGTTGCTAACGTTCTCCTTGATTGATATTGTTTGTGGTGTATGCCTTACTAATTGTTGGAGGGTGTTTGCCGAGGAAGGGGATGCAAGCCTCGTGGGCTTTGATCCCTTTGACATTATTTGGGTGTGAGCGCAAGTAAAGGACTAGATGGATTTTTTAGGATAAAGAGATGCTCATAGATAGGTCAAAGCAATAGCTTTTTGTTACACTAGCAATGCACCATGTGCGTTGCACGAAAATTATCGTATACAAAATATTAATAAAATGTATTAGGTATAGAAANGAGCGCAAGTAAAGGACTAGATGGATTTTTTAGGATAAAGAGATGCTCATAGATAGATCAAAGCAATAGCTTTTTGTTACACTAGCAATGCACCATGTGCGTTGCACGAAAATTATCGTATATAAAATATTAATAAAATGTATTAGGTATAGAAATACCTACATTAAATATCATCTCAAGTTTATCAAAATTATATTTTTATTGCTCGTATTATACTATAGAATTCGAAAAATATTTTTTTTCTCTAGTGATTCGTTGTTCTAACTATAAGAAAAACGATAAAAATAATTCATATAAAATTCATTTGATTAGATTTCAACTTATAATTCATTGAATAAAATAAAGATAATTGTCAATATTCTAATCAATGCCTCATNTAATTCATATAAAATTCATTTGATTAGGTTTCAACTTATAATTCATTGAATAAAATAAAGATAATTGTCAATATTCTAATCAATACCTCCTATAATTAAGAATTAGTTAGGTCAATAAGGATAAAATATAAGGTTAAAAACACTTTGGGTCTCTACAAGTATTACGCACTTTTTATTAATTTAGTCCTCAATATATGAATTTTGTCAATTTGTTCCCTAAAGTATTCAATTCTTGTTCAAATAGTCCCTAACCAGACCGTCCATTAAGTTTTTTGATGGAAGTAACCACGTGTCATTCTGTAAGATATTATCCCATGACCAGCACGTGATTACTTCTGTCAAAAACTTAATAGGTTGTCTGTGTATGGATCATTTAAGCACTAACTAAATACTTTAACAACCAAATTAACAAAATTGATACAATGAGGACCAAACTGACAAAACATGCATGTTTCAAGAACTAAAAGTACTATTAACCATAAAATATAATATACTACAACATAATATATATTTTACAAGAATATTAAAATTCTAAAATTCAAGTTTTATTTAAAAATACAGTATAATTTTTTTTATATAAACTCTTAATAAAACATGAAAATTTTACTGTGATTGAAGAATTATGTTGATTTGACATAAATTATTTAAAAAAAACTATGTAAAATATTATTTTTTATCTTAAAAATAAAATGGTTGAAATTTAGAATGAAAAAAAATACACATATGTAACACTAATATTATCTTTTTATTTGAAATGAGTAATGTTACATTAATGAAGTTTTTGAAGATTTTTTGAAGGTTTTATTAAAAACTATAATGATGCATATATTTTTTAAAAGTAACATAGTCAATTAAAAAGTTTCATAGATATTGATATTTACATGTAGTGAATAAAGAATTAAAAGAGATGTTTAGAGTAATTTAGAGATTTAAACATAAAAGTATATGATGGTAATTTAGATATTCAACTACGGAAGGATAGTGTGACATTTAAAATTATTTATAAGAGTAGTATAGTGAATCAAAAAAATTTCATACTAGTACTTTTATTAATAGTATAGATTATTAGTAGTATAGATGAAAAAAAATATATATAGGCATAATATTATCTTTATATTTGAAAAAATTAATGATCTATTGATGGAGTTTTTGAACACTTTATGTATATATTTGCATAATGTTATCTTTATATTTGAAAAGAGTAATGATCTATTGATGGTGTTTTTGAACACTTTATAGAAAACTATATTGATGTATATATTTTTTTAAGAGTAACATAGCCAATATCATCATTATAGTTTTTTAAAAGTAACATAGTCAATTAAAATTTTCATAAATATTGATATTTATATAAAGATAATAGAGAATTAAAAGAGATGATAGAAGGTAATTTGAAGATTTAAATACATAAGGATGTGATTGTAATTTAGATATTTAACTATGAAAAGATAGTGTGGTTTTTAAAATTCTTATAAGGTTAAAATAGTGAATCAAAAATTTTTTACTTAAAGTACTTTAATTAGTAGTATAGATATAAATAGATATGGTAAGTGGGTCATGCCCCGTTGGCATCAGTTTATACACTCTATGAATCAAAATATGTATGTACACCAAACCCATGGAAAAACAACATGAATATCCTTTTGTAGTGGTTTGGCTTAATTAGGCTAGCAGGCAGGCTTGGTTGACACTCTAAGTAGGCCTTTGAAGTTGTGCAACCTATCCTTACGGGACTATGTGACGGGATTCTATGGAAAAGAAGACATCGAAGACATGGTACTTCAAATGTATATTATTACAAAGGTTCTTTTCCTACATCAATGTAATAAAAACAACAATGGCAAAAAAGAGAATAATGATGACATGATACTGCGAATGAATATTATTACCAAGGATTTTTCGGTACTACAAGAAGAATTACTTACATCAATCGAAATTACCGAGAGACGGCAAGCATGATGACACTTTTCAAGTTTAGACATAAATCTCTTGCTCTTAGATATCTTTTCTGGTGTGACATACAATATTTTAAGCTCTCCTTCACCCTTTTCAAGGGCCTTGTATATAAATTTTTCGTCTTCCTTGCTAGTTATTGATGTCAACATGAATGCCGGGATGCCCAAGGCAGCCAACCCCATCACCTGAAACCATAATTGCAGTCAGTGAAGTTGTTTTATACATACCAAGGTTCCCATATGGACAAATAAACATAAGTTTTAGAGCACCTGATCTTGAATAAGAGAAAGCAAAGGACTGACAACAAGAGTGACTCCATTACGAAGAACAGCTGGAAGTTGGTAGCAAAGACTCTTGCCTCCACCAGCGGCCATAATCACTAGAACATCTCTTCCACTCAAGACAGCATTTATAATCTGGAGATAAGCAACTGTCTGTTAATACATTGAGTTAACTATTAAAAACACCTTCTCTTATCCAAAACAACCGTCAAATGTGGCCTGGTATCACTTAACACCCTGCTTCAAATAGTCCCTCCCCCCCCCCCCCCCCCCC